ACTCACTGGACTCACTGGACTCAGGGTCTCAGGGTCTCAGGGTCTCAGCATCCACAGGAACCTTTCTGAACAATGAGCATCACGTCTGGGACATTTTCACCCAGCTGATGGTATTTTACTTTTCATGTTTCTGAACAAAATATAAATAAAGTTTGTGATTAAAATCTTTGTATCAAAGTGAGGACCGTTTCCTGGGCAACCTGGTGTGAAAGGTCATCATTAGAGTGAGTGAGGCGAACTGAGTGTGCTCAGAAGAGTCTTACTGCGGACGGCTCTGGAGCGTCTCAGTCCTCTCTGCTCGCCACTCAAGCTGTCGCTGCTGCTGATCAGCAGGTTCTTCATGTTCTCATGCTCCTCCTCCTGACCAGGCTCCGCCTCCGCCGCCATGGAGACTGGGGAGGAGCTGTCCTGGTGAGGCACCGCCCCCGAAAACTTCTCCGTCTGAGGAAGAGGAAGAAAAGATATTCGAATGTCTTCAGTCAGATGGAGTTTTAAAGGAGTTTCACATTGAACAACTTCATTTACAGATTTAATGTTTCATTTGAATATTCAACAAATCACAGTCCGTTCTGATTGATATATAATTATTAAGTTGTAGTATCAGACGCTGGTCCTGCTGGTGACTTCTGACCCCCCACCCGGAGGAGCAGGAGGAGGTTTACCTCGGTGATCATCTTGCCTCTGGTCTTGGTTCTCTCTCTGTGAGCGGCTCGTTTGCGTTTGAGGGTGAGGACTCGCTCTCTGGTGGTCCGATACTCGAGAGAGAACTCACTGATGATCCGACAGAAACTGGTGACTTTAATGTCCCGAACCGACGAGGACGGCTGACCCAGGAACAGCAGGAAGGAGTGGAACCTGCAGGAGGAGGAAGAGGAGGAGGTCAGTATGCACGTAATGTATATCTGTGTGTATATGTGTTTGTGTATCTGTGTGACCTCTGACCTGTTGATGACCCTCCTGTGGACCACCTTCAGGATGATGATCCTCTGCGTACAGTCCTTCAGGAAGTCCGTCATCTTGTTCTTCAGGACCGCTTTGGTCTCGTGTTTGGCCACCACCTTCAGGTTGTCCCATGATGCTTTGCAGCGTCTCTCCAGCTGGACCAGGTTCTCTGACAGCAGCTCAAAGTCCACCTGGAGAAAAACAAAGACTCTGGTCAACACCTGCTGCCTTCACAGCACAGCAGTGGGACGCAGGGTAGAGTACAGTAGAGAGCAGACAGGGTAGAGAGCAG